ATAAAAGATTTTATTTTTATTTGAAAGGCAGATTTACAGCGAGCAGAGACAGAATGGTCCCATTGATTCACTTCTCAAATGGCTGCAACAGCCAGTCCAAAGCCAGGAGCTTCTTCTGGGTCTCCTACAGAGGTGCAGGGTCCCAAGGCTTTGGGCCGTCCTCTGATGCTATGGCAGGCCACAAGCAGGAGCAGCCGGGACATGAATCGATGCCCAGATGGCATGTGGGTGCTTTCTGGCAAGTGATTTAGCCAGTTGATCTATCTGTCCAACCCCTTGATTTATTTTTTAATACTATTTTTCTAAGAAATTATTTTAAATGCCTTCCTGTAAAATCCTAATAGCCATGCAATGTGAAAATGAATGGAAGGCAAAATACAATCATAGCCTAACAATTGAACCACTTAAAAATCTTCATTGACAATGCCAAACCTTTCCTCATCCCTACCCCAATCATTTTTTTCCCCACCTCAGGTAATCTAAAGTCGGGTGTCAGAGGAGCCTTAAAATATCTGCATTGTAATGGATTTCAAGTTGGCAGTGTTTGAACATTATGCCTTGAACACGATGTTAATAGGCCTCATAAGGCAAAGCTGGTTTTCCTGCTTCTTTAAAGCTGGGTCTCACAGGACCTGATTGAAGTTAAAGTGAATGTGTCTAAACTAAGGCAGTCACAGGCAAATCTGAATGCAGACTCGCATGGAGGTATTGGGCTGTTTCCCTTGATCTGGCTATGTCTCCCACTGCCTCTGAGTTTTACTGCTGGCCCTTGTGTCTGCTTCCACGCTTTCTTTCTCTCTCTCTCTCTCTCTCTCTTTCTCTCTCTCTCTCTCTCTCTTTCTTTCTTTCTCTCTCTCTCTCAGGCAGCAGGGCTGCTGGGATATTGTTCCTGGAAATTCAGGAAGGGGTGGGGGAGTAGTGGTGAGAATGTCTGGAACAAAGAAGATTTCTTCACTGTTTATTGCTAGGGGAAGGTGGAATAGCAAGTTGTAAAGCAGCGCTTGTGTAACAGGTATCCCCCCAAACGTGAAGTTGTTTAAGCCTGAAAGCTGGAGCTATTTAGAAAAGACTCTAAAACATAAATCAAGAACCTGCCCCTCCTACTGGAATTCCCAATTTGTGCTTTCTGTTCCATCTGTCTTGAACCATCCTACCATCAGTTGCTGCCTCTCTGGCTGTCTTTGCTGATGTAATTTCCCTGAGTCATTTATTGATTATCTGGTACCATGTAACAAACCATTGCAAAGCAACCATTTTATTTACTTGCTCTTCTGTGGCTCAGCAGTTTGGGCCAGGCCCAGGCCCATTGTGCTCTTGTCCTTGGAGTTGCTCAGGAGACTGTGGCATGCCCTGGCTTGACTGAGGCTCCACAGTTTAGGTGGGGCTCCATCTCATGCCTGGTGGTTGGCCTGCTGGGTGGGCCTCCTCTCCTTAAGGCCTCTCATTCTTTAAAGTCCAGCTTGTTGACTCTGTGGTCGGCTCAGAATTCTTGGGGATCGGGATCAGAAATTACAAGCCCAGTGAGGCCTAGGCTTGAAATTTATCTTCACTTAAGGGTAGTAATCATGACTTCGTGGGGTAAAGTAACAGGTAGTTTAGAATCGAACATACCTGTAGCTGTTGATTTGGAGGTGTCGTTTTGTATTTTAGGGATTTGTGTTTTGTGAAACAGATGTGGAAGATAGCTTTTCTTAGGGTTCGACATGTCTTTTTGCATTTAGGGTGCCTTTTGGCAAAGAAGGTTTTGATTTTTTGAAATGTGATTTTCAATCTTTGGCCCCTTAAAAGATTTGTTGATTTGAAAGGTGATATTAGAGAGAGGGAGACAGGGAGGCATGGAGAGAGAGATCTGCTAGTTCACTTTTGAAATGACTGCAACAGCCAAGGCTTCATCAGACCAAAGCCAGGAGCCCAAGCATTTGAGATCTCCCCCTGCTTTTCCAAATGCATTAGCAAGCAGCCGGATTGAAAGTGGAGCAATCAGAACATAACCCAATTATTGGATAAATGACAGTCAGTGACTTAACCCACTGTGCCGCGTTTCTGGCTCAAGAAAACCCTTTCTTTCACTCCCTAAAAACCAAACATCATCTTCTGTGTTCTCTGCTCAAAGAGTTACAGTTGAGCTGTTTGCATTGTGGCTGATGCCTGCCTCCTACTGATTTTGTGAAGTTTGAGAGTTAGGATCCAACATTATCTTTCTCCATGTAATTCACCTGTAGCACAAAGCAAGATTGAGCAAACATTCAGTTCCTTTCCCATTGGCCAGGGATGATACATGTGCTGAATGCCACACTTCGATGTGTGGGTAGGGTTTCAGTTCCACGTTGACCTGTCTCTTTGACCCGTCTGCACTGCCTCATGTTACCGCAGCTTTATCATGTTGTGATATCTGGTAGGGAAAGTACCCCAATCTTGTTTTCTTCTCTGAAATCGTCTTTGGTGATAGTGGCCTTTTACTCTTCCCGAAAATTTTTAGTTTTAAGAAAAGTGCTGTTGGTGTGATCTGCTTGGGTTCAGATTGGTCGGGTGAGAACTTGTGTGCTCTAAGGATAAAACCAAGGACTTGGGGAAGATGTTTGGTGCAGGCTTAAATGTCCTTATTCGGACTCACATTCCCTAGGTTTCTTTCCCATTCGCTCTTCAGACTCCAGCATTCTGCTAAGGTCTGTGTACTCCGCCTGGGTGGCAGTGAGTGATGGCTCAAGTTGTTGGGCTCCTTCCCCCCGTGGGAGAGACTCGGATTGAGTTCCAGGATCCTGATTTCAGCCTGTCCTGACCCAACAGATGAAAGTTCTTATCTGTCTCTCCTCTCCTTTCCCCCTTCACTCATCCACTTCCTTTCTATTGTCTCTCTGCCTTCCAAATAAATACATCTTTTAAAAATGTTCTTAAAAGGCTGCAGGATGGTGTATCCCAAGTGCAGGAATGCTGCTTTTAAGAAGAAAATGTGGGGATGCTGTTGATCATAGAAACTTGGCTCCTAAAGGTATTGATTGCCCAGAAACCAGGGAGCTTAATGGCAAATTTACCCCCCAAGCACACCTTCCTGTCCCAGAGAACTTTTCGTGTTGGTCTCAGTAGGTTCCCAGTCCCTCGGGGCAGCATTACGCTGGCGCTGAGGTTTGATGGATACCGTGGCATGGACACTCAAGCCTCTTAGGCTTCTTTTTACTTTTGGGGGTTTGTTGGAACTCAGATCTGTGTTAAAATGAGGTTTTATGCAGAATTTCTATGGTTTATATAGAAGTAAGAATACACAACCCACAGGATTGTTGGAAATGAGAACCTGGAATTTTTCTCCCATGATTTTGTTTGTCCTATCCCAAGCACGGATTAAGTGGTGTAGGATATGCAGGGTTACAAGTGATGTCCCAGCCAACACTTAACTTCAAAGGGTTTGCCCTTGTTGGACTGCAGTATGAAGGGAGCGCCCATCAGTTGGGCGTCTTGGCTCCTCCTTATCTAGTACTTAGTGTGTCATTGTTCCTATAGCTGGAAAGCTGAGCTCTCTGGCCACTGTCACAGGTTACAGAATGAGTGAGTGCTACCAAGAAGTGTGAGAAAATACAAGAGCCAGAGCGAGAAGGGGCGAGCAGGTGGAAACCTCCAAGTCACACAGGGTGCTTCAATTCCAGAGAAAGGGAGACCCAGGCAGCCATGGGGCAAGGCTTACTCAGATATCAGTGCCCCTACTCTAACCTCAGCAAGCCTGGCATTTGAAAACATGATGATAAGCAGTTAAGCAGCTAATAGCTCTCGCACAGGGTCATGGAGTAAGTCAGCCCCTTTGCAGACCTGAGCTTTCATCTAAGCTTTCCTTCCACCCCAGGTTCTACTCTCTTACCTGATTATGGTACCAGCACCATCATCCCTGATTCAGGGCTGGGCATACTCGGAGACAGATATTTTCCAAGAACTGGTTTGTGAGATGCGTCTGGAGAACTTCTTTTTCCTAAAAGTTTGTCTGACTATCATTTATCTGTCTATCCTATTTGAAAAGGAGAGAGATCTTTCATCCGCTGGTTCACTCCTCAAATGCCTGCCATAGCCATGACTAGGCCAGGCCAAAGACGGGAGTCAGGAATTGAGTCTGGGTCCTGGTGGGTGATGGAGACTCGTGAGCCAGCACCTGTGCACTCCTGGGAGAAGCATTACCAACGTCTGGACTGAAAAGAGAGTCAGAAGTCAAACCAAGCATTCCAACATGGGATCCTGGCACCCCAAACCTTGTGCCAAATGCTTGGCCCTAAAGAAGGTTTTAAAACATTCTTGGTCTTTCTGTCCCTAATGTAGTTTGTAGACCTGCAGTATTGATGAATATCATTCAGAGCTTGGTTAAAAAAAATGCAGAATCTTGGACATACCTACTGATTCTAAATTTGTGTTTTGCACGCTCGCCCGGATCTGGATACTCTGTGTATTAAGCAGCATTTCTTTATTAGAATGAGGTACAGTAGCAGCCTACCCTGTAAAGAACAGAGGTTTAGTTTGGCTCATAGTCCTGGCCTATAAGGTCTAGGGACCTCATCTGGTGCTGCCTTCTGGCTGGCAGTCTTAGCCTTGGTTATCGTCACAAAGTGTCATGGATGGAGCGTATTAAGCAGCAGTCATTGTTGGCTCACAATCTTGGAGAGGCTGGGAAGTCCTCCCATCTGGATGCTGGCCCACTGAGCATCCTGGAAAGGACTCTTGTTCTGGCTTGCAGACAGCTGCCTGCTCACTGTCTCTTCACGTGGTGGAGAACGGAAGTAGGAGTTCCGGTCTCTTCTTGTCCTTACAAGAGTCCTGATTTCACCACGAGAGTCTCATCTTCATTACCTCCCCCCGACACTCCAAATTCAATCACTTTGGGGTTAGGGATTTCACAGAACATTTCTGAGGAGAGGAAGTTAATTCAGTCTGTAACAATTTTAACATTGGTTGATGTATAAATTTTATACCTGTATATATCATGGATCGTGAAGGTTCTTAAAAAGCCCCTGTACTTTGTCTGACAGGGCACAGGTTCTGCAGCGAGCAGGGCAGCAGTGGCGAGACTGCTCCGGAGGAGACCGAGGGGCCGGACGTAGAATCCTCAGATGAGATTGATCACAGCAGCAAGGTGAGAGCTTTTCATTTTCACATCTCATGTCTGAAGCCACCCAGCAGGCACAGCTGCCTCGTCACCTCCACAGCTGTGTGTGGCCCAGCATCCCCTCCACGGGACCGAGTGCTTTTCTGTCTAAGGTATTACTGCAAAGCAGGATGTGAAATCCCAATGACAGCCTTGATAACAAACCCAGATGGAGGGTACAGGACAGAAATCAATCATAATGCAACACAGCCTCCTTTCTTTAATTTCTGCCCCTGCTGGAGCTGTGCGTTAATATCATAATTTCGTCCTATCTCCTTCTTCCATCTTGATTGTGTGGGAGGATGCATGTGACTGAGTCAGCTCTACCCTCTGCAGCTTGGGGTTCCTGTCGTGAACTCCTTCTGAGGCATGTGTGTTCAGCTCTTGCTAGAGGTGAGCACCATCTACATGGAAGGGAGAGAAACTTCTGTTGTGATGATGTTGGTGATGAATCCAGATGGATGCTTTCTTGGCTGAGCACAGTGATAGAGTTTGCCTACCTCTTTGGTGCCAGACCCTGCAGTCGCTGTCTGTAAGTCATCCTGTTTCCTTCGCTTCCTAAAGAAGCCCCTGGAACAACAGCCCCTCTCATCAGAGTTTCCAAAACACAGCACTGTGTTAAGTACACTGTGTCTCTTCTGTGCAAAAGACACTCTTCCCCAAAAACAATCCTGAGTGTTGGTACTTCTGCACTTGGTCTCTTTTATCCTGTTATTGACAAAGTTATTGCTGGTTCCCTTCCCTCCATTTTTCATTTGACATTTAGCACTCACTGAACCTGAGCAAACCACATCACTGCATACTGAAACCTTTATTTTCTCATCTGCAAAATCAGCCTGATTTTACCTTTTCCTGGTGGTTGGATTATTGAGTGGGTCAAGTCATAGGGGAAAACACTCTGATAATGGAAATATGTTAGTCAGATAGGAACTGACATTTTATTTACTTAGCTAAAGATTGATTTGTAAGAAGACTTACAGAGAGAAAGGATCACACACACACACACACAAAGAGAGAGACAGAGAGAGAGAGAGAGAGAGCGAGATAGAGAGAAAGATCTTCCATCCACTAGTTCACTCTCCGGTGGCTGGGCCAGGCCAGTCAGGAGCCAGGCACTGCAGGTCTCCCACTGGGTGGCAACTCAAGTGCTTGACCCATCTTCTGGTTTCTCAGCTACATTAGCGGGGCGCTGAATGGGAAGTGCAGCAGCCAGGACTCAAACCAGCACCCATATGGGATGCCAGCGTTACAGACAGTAGCTTTCTGCACTGCCACGATGCTGGTCCCAGAACTGTCATTGTAGAAACTCAACACTATTGTTGTAGGGCTTTCTTGAGTACATCTGTCTGACTGTGCCATGCTTGTTTATCTTTCCGTCATAGAATCATCATTCTTGATCTTTTAAAAACTGAGCACAATAACAGAAAGTTGAATATATGAAAGGAGGTTAATAGTTAATAGTAGAGTGAAAGGCTTTATGTTCTTGATTATTAATTAAAAAGCTGACCAGTGAAAATGTGTGTTTCATTCAAAACCATAAAAGCAAAGCTAAACAAAAACTGCCTAAAGTTGCTTTTTGTTCACATCACCTCCATGTTGCTTTCTCCCATTTTGGGGAAAAGAAAGGTCAGTTGTTTTCAAGAGAAACCTCTCTGCTAGCACAAGATATTTGGAAAGGTATTAAGTTATTAGAATAAAATCTTTGTTCAATTTCTAATTAGATTCAGGAAAATACCCATTTTTCATGGATTGAAAGCTTTTTATTTCTGAATAGTTTTTAACTTGGATCATTTTTACCTCATTGTAATGGCTCAATGTTCTCATCCTCTAGTGGATTTTAAGAGAAATTGTTTCCATTTTCAAAACAGTGAGTCATGAGGTCCAAAGCAGAGTCGGCTATAATCCGAGCTCCTGGCCGCGGAGAGGAAGGAAGAGGCCCCAGGGCTGTGTTGACTGATCCCAAATGTCTCTGACTTCATCCTTCCTCCTCCAAGGGCTCAGTCCTGAGCTGCCATGGAACAGAGAGGGGCAGGCGACCAGGCAGGCAGCACCACCCCTGGCAAGTGTGGGCACTGATGGAGTGTCTGTAAAGCTCAGGCAGCGGTTCCCATGGGGTTTCACTGCATTTCCCTTAGGGAACACTGTCAATCCTGTACCGAGAAATACCTCCTGCTTTGGGCCTGCTCTCCGTGTTTCCTTCTGTATTTCAAACATTTGGTCATACGACCCCCAAATAAGTCTTTGAATTAGAGTTCTTGTTTGTGATATTTTGAATAAGCAGAATGGGAACTTGGTCCTCCTGTGTATTATTAATAATGAGTGATTAGTAAGACTTAATGTATTTATCAGACACTGTTTTGTAAGAATTCAGCTCGTCCTTACAGCATCCCTAAGATGCTCATGTTTTTTCTCTGTTACTGACGAGCTGCTGTTATTACGAAGCCATTGTCACTGCTTTATAGATGAGGCTAATGGAACAAAGGTTAAGCAACTTGTCACACTTCTATGATGGCAAAATTAGGGTGAAACCCAAGGTGGCTGCAAGGCCTCGTGGTAATGGCTTTGGAATAACTACCTTCTGGTCACTTTGTTAAAGTCTACGACTTTGTAGAAGAATAAATTGATTTATTAAGGCTTGTACAAGATATTTTACTAGATACACAGTGGTTACTCTCTGGAATATTTTCCAATGTTTTATCTTTCTTCCTGCGTTTTGTATGATCTGAAGTAAGAACACACAGCTATCTTTCTATGAAGGTTGAAGTGTTTTTGGTGCAACTCCTATATTTCTATGTAGCTTTTCTGGAATAAATTCCAAATTGGTTTGTAAGTTGTGAGCTATCTGAACATGGCAGGAGGACCTCAGGCTTGTCTGAATGTGTCAGCCTAGGTGTCAGAAATGTAGATAGATAGATGGATGAAAAGATAGATATAAGGAATCATTTTTATTCCAGCTGAGTATGAGAGGGCTATTGATTTGGGGGCTGTGGTTTAACGCTGTTCTTTCTATTCTTCTTAAATGAGCCATTCTTCACAATCTTAGGATAAACAGAAGCTCTGTGTCTTTTCCGAGTTTCTTTCAATAGCAGATTTTGCTGTACATGGCCTTTTGAAGTGGAGCAAGTGGATAATTGTGTGATTGTTGTTGCACTGTGGTAGCACTGGAATGTCGCAGTGGTGGGCTGGGGGTGGGGCTGCCACAGGCAGGGGCAGCTTAGCAGCCTGTCTTCTGGTGACTGTGGGTGACAGCCACTGGCTCCTGGTCTGCCTTCCCCTGCTTTTCCTTTGCAAACTCGTTTCTGAAAGTGAATGTGAATTAGCGCAGGTCAGGGGAGTCCTGGGTCTTGCATTCCAGGCACCTTGGGGGCTGTGATTTTGTGTGCCTTTTAGCTAATATAGTATAGTCCTTTTCTGAACATTTCCATGTTCAGAAGGTTTTTCTCTTTAAATTCCTTTTGTCATGTTCTCAGAAGTATCTGCTTTTGTAACCCAGCAATAGTGCAAAATGTGAAACCAGGCACAGCTTTTTTCTTTCTTAAAGAAGTGTCTTGTGTTGGAGAGCAGAAGAGGGAGGCGTTCAGAGTTGTGGGAGTCTGGGCAGGTTAAATATTCCTTTGCGGGGCAGGATGCTGGCCAATCAGCGGATCCCGGCTGCAGGCTAGAGACGGGGAAGTACCGGGGCTCTGCTTTCCTGCCTGTTGGGCTGTCTGTTTCTGGAACTTTTGTTGTTTAGCCAGGTGAAATTGGAGCATGAGTTCTTGTCTATGCTTTAGCCTTTGACAGCCTCCCAGAGGGGACTGACGGGAAGCAGGTGCTGCCTGCGGGTGGCATTGGCTCTGCCCCGGCTTCTCAGAGATGTGGCCATAGGTTTTTCACGCGAGAGCCAGCATAGTATATTCATACAAAAGGATGCTCTCAGCGGAGCTGGAAGGCATTTGGGGCTCTCGGAGTATTTTTGAGAAACTTGCATTTCTGTGCAGAACCCATCAGGTGGTAGAACTGATGGCCGTGAGCACAGATTTCTGATGATGTCTGCACTGTGGAAAATAAAGCGCAAACCCAGGATGGAAAATGATGCCAAGTGCGGTGACTCTCTCTATCGGATGCTTCATCTGGTGAGCATGTTTGCTGTTTGAATTTCACCTCACTGGCCTTGTCCGTGTCACCAGTCTCCAACTGGGCTATATTCCGGCCCAGATAATGGTGATTATCTCTGTCTGTTGTCCCCAGATTTTATCCTTTGACTCTCTGGACCCTTTTATTGGTGAGTGTGTGTGTGTGTGTGTGTGTGTGCTAGAGTAGTAATTGATGTGGAGTTAATTTGCCTTGAATCTGCACGTCTGTCTATTACATGTATAGAAGAGATCTGTTCTTTGCAGCGGGTTATGTTTTGTTTTGTTTTTTAATCACTGGTATCTTTTTCCTTGCTTCTTTGCTTGTGGTGATTCTGAGTGTGTTTCCTGTTACCAACCTGGACAGAGCCTCCGGTTCTCACCTCCACCCTAATAGCCTGCGTGTTCCGCAGGGATTTCTGAAAGTTGTTCACCTTGCCTCCCTCCATACACCTTCAGGTGTTTTATGTTATTTTTGCCTCCTTGAGAAACGATGGATATAGTCCTGAAAATACTGGCCTGAGGATGTGCTTAACTGTTGAGCAGCAACTGACCTACTTGAGCAAATCTGAACATCCTCCTGAACAGACATAGTGGGGTAATAGCAAGAAACAGATTCACAAAATTTAACCATCTAGTAGCTCATGACTAATATCAGTGTCAAATATTATTGTCTTGTGTAATGAAACTTAAAACTTAGACACTGGATATGTCTGACTTATTCAAATAAATCTTCATTCTGCTTCTGCTATTATTGTTATTATTGTTATTATCCTCTTTCTTCTTTTATACTGTTTGTTTCACACTAGTGGAAAGCTCTTAGGATTCATGGGTTCTGACATTGTGGGAGTGGAGTATATTGCTTTGCTTTTAAGA